AAACCCAACCAAAGGTCTACCTTTTCTCCGAGCCCTGACTTAGGACTAGGCTCAGACCTAGTTGGCTACTAGGAGGTTAGATGAGATTACCATATAGAAGATAGTGTGCATAAGGCTTACGGGTTTAGTCTTGGGCGTTGACCTGTCTTATGTTACAGGCCGACTTGATCAATCTGATTTAGGACTTGCGCTAGTTCAACTTGATCCTGCAAGGATCATCATCTGTTATCACTGATGTTATCACTGATAACAGGTCCGTTGCCGATTCGTCGGTTCGCGACTCAATTCCTACTCGCTCTCCATACTCAACCTAAAAGGCTTTATCCCTGGTGATCTTCTTGTTTGTTAAGGGTTTCACCCAGACTTTTATTGAATGACCATTTAACAGAGGTTCTGAGTATTTATTTAAGGTTGGTTGGCTGGAGGTTGGGGCTTGCATGGCTAAAGCGAGGGGTATGAGTATAGGAACTGGTTGGAGTTGACTCCGTGTAGTGTGTGGACTCTTGTCTAACTTTTGATGTACTTGTAGGTATGTTCAGAGACTTGGGGTTTTGGTTGGGCTGCCTTGCCGTCGCGTATATATGTATGGTTAGAAGGAGACCCACTATGACTGTGAGAAGTGATCGTCACATAATTATCCCCCTTGTGTATATGTATGTGCGAGTGAATGTGTACCTACGTGAGGAATTAGCGCGGCCTGAAGTACCCGCGCAGTAAGGGCCTCGAGCCTAACACGAGAGGGGTTTCTCTTTAATAAACGGTAAAAGTGCTTGTTTCCCTTCCTTGTTACGATTCATCTTGGTGGAACGATAAAGTTCCGGGCGGAAGGGTTAGCGTGTCGCTGGTGATGCGCCAGACAACTCACCACCACTCCAAACCCCTTCCTGCCCTAGGGGCCGCCTTGCCCCACACCCGCTGGGACACCTCAGGGTGCAGAAGGCAGGAAGGCCCTCAGGTCGATTTTGCGCCAGCTAGAGGGTTACCCCCCCTTTTTTTGCGCGCGCTTTAGCGAACACTTGAGCGTCGAAAGGTGAGCCCTTGACTCAGAGTAGGCCTTTTGGGTGTGGGCACTACATAATGCGTCGTCATCGCAGTTACTCGCGTAGAGCTGCATAGCGAGATAGTATGTGTACGTCCAGCGCCCTTGCGATCTTCTACTAAGTTCGCTCGCGACACTCGTCGCATCCCGCACTAAAAGAAGTTATGGGTCAGGCGGCGAGACCACGAGCGTGGTACGGCCAGTAAACTTGGGGTTTTGCTAACTTGAAGCGGCACGTGGGCGGAGGACTAGCCCCGGTCAGCCTATGGGAGTCCGTGTACGGGCCTCATTATCCCGGACGTCGGGTAGCCCATGGGTAGGATTCCGGCTTCCTCCGCGCGCGCGTCGTTTTGGCTTACCCACCCCCTTCCATTTTAGAAGGCCATCAGCTAAATGGGGGGTGGAGTGAGCTTCCTTTTTGCGTTTTCCTGGTTGGACGTTATAGTCTGTGGCGTCCGTCAAAGTCAAACCCCTTGACGTTCGACCGCCACGACAGCTTAAAGATGTCTACTCAACCCCTCTACACAGGGTGCAGAAGAGAGTGTGGTCTTCAACCGCGCATGGCAGTTGTCCAACGTCGAGAGATTAACCCTCAAGGCGCGTGTCAGCCGACACTTGAGTGTCGAATGCGACCCTCGAGATTAGCGAGGACCGCATGGATGTGGGTACCATATAGTACGCCATCACTACGACCACTTGCGCACGTTTGCATCCCGAGTCAAATGTGAGTAGCCCTGCGTCTGCGCGATTTTTATACTGAAGTCTCGCTCGCGACTCCCACCCGATTTTTGCGTCGAAGGGTTATGGGACGACTACTGAGGGGCTACGGTCGTCGTCGCGTTGTTTGTGCCATGTCGTTCTGTGTGTGTATGTGTGTGCGTGCGTTCCCTTTGTGTTCGTAGAGTAGTGTACGCATGGTAATTTGGATACGTCCTAGCCGACCGGCGACGAACCGCCCTTGGGACTTCAGCCCCCCAAGGTGTCGGTCCGCGTGCGGGTCCGATAGGCGTGCTACCACGCGTACCCCCTATGCTACAGCGAACGAGAAACGCCCTCGGCTGGTCCACCTCTGCGATTGCAATTGAGTAACTTTCGTACTGTGGACTGGTAGCTCGACAGGGATACGCCCACCGAAGGGAGGTGACAACTTCCGTAAGGTGGAGGTAAGTTGTGCCTCGCGTAGGCCCTATCCTGTTGTAGGGGCTTGCGAGAGGTATGGCTGGCGCACTCGGCCGGAGCGGCCTAAGGAAGCTCCATTTGTGTGGTCGCGAAAAGGTTAATCCAACTCCTGCGTGACGCGGCCGAGAGAGTCCCGCGCTGCCACGAGCAGTGTCGGGCCGATGCGCTTGACAGCGTTCCACTCGAGGCGAGAGGCGAGGGGATTTGGGAGGTGACCTCTCTGATGCCAAGGTGGAGGATCGCAGGGGGGACAGCGAGACCGAGCGATGTGCAGCGTGATGGTTTGAGCATGGACGTGCCCACCCGGAGTTGCGCACCATCACCATCCGTATCATGCACTTGTGGACGTCTTCTCTCCAGCGGAGAGGAATTGGGCGCAGCACGAGCGCATCAACACGGCGAGGCGTTTCAAGCTTGGGTTTGCCAAGCTTGCACAACTGGTTGAGATTGCCACCAATCTCAAACTGGCCTCGTGCGCACGGCAGGGTGGTGGCTACGTGTTGCCATGGGTTATGGGGACCGGTTGGGGGGGGACGGGGTCAGAGGACGAGGATGAGGATGGAGATGTGGAGCCCGAGGTGTGGGGAGCGCGACCTGCTGGTAGTGTTCCAGAGGTGGAGATCGAGCGGCAGATTGTTGCTTTCCAGCATAGCCGACCGTCCAGAGCCCATTCGGTTTGGGACGTGTTCGGCATCAGGGCGACGGAGCTGCGACCGTGGCCAGAGGGTGGGGATGATGTGGACGCTGCTGTGGCAGACGACGATATCGACGACGAGTGGACAGACGACGATGACACGCCGCTGAGTAGCGACCCGACGACTGAGCGGGTGTACTTCACTTACGGTGGGGGTCGTGGCGGCATGGATTCATTCACATCAGTTATCACTAGTGGTGCGCCGTCGACCGCACAGGCGAGTGTGAGCAGCAAAGCCGGTGGTGGTGGTGGAGGACGTTCGCATGCGGAGGTTGGCGTCGACGACTCGGGGGAGCAGCAGCCACGGGGAGGTCTTCGGCAGACATGCAGGCGATGGGAGGTTAGGAGCGACAGCGAGGCCGAGGATGAGGAGGTGCCCCTTCGCGATCGTCGCTTCTCTCCCTCCCATCATCCGATCTCTGCACAGCCCGAGGCACTTAGGCGTTCAGAGAGGTTGGCGTCGGCAGCAGGCAGAGACCGGACACATAACGATGAGGATCGTGGGGGGGAGAGGACTCCTTCCAACGCTGGTATCAGCCCTTGCTCGCCGTCGGTGCTCCGCACAGACGACTTTGGCATCAAAGGGCTTGGTGGGAGTTTGGGAGATTTGAGTGTCGAGGGACGTCGACGTGCCTCACCGTCGGAGGTGCGCACCGACACGGACGTTGTGTGGGGCCGTGTTGAGACTGAGGAGGAGAGGGATGCCCGTTTGGACCGAGAGGAGGAGGAGCAGCTCGGGAGTTGCCACGATGGAAGGGTCGGTTCGCGTATCTTGACGAGCAGCGTCGACAGAGGGAGATGGAGACAGGAGGGGGGGGAGGCCGTGACGTCGATCTCTCGGGTGTCCCTGAGGAGGCAATTCAGAAGGAGTTCGATGATGAGGGACATGATGCTGCCACGGGTGGTGAGTCAGGTGGTGGACGACGAGGTGACGAGGAGACCGCAGGTGATGAGGGGCAGGATGTTGTCATGGGCGGTGGATCCCCTAGTGGGGGGCGTGGCGACAACGAGACCGCGGGTGATGAGGGACAGGGTGCCGCCGTGTGTGGCAGAGGAGAGGGTGGACCCGGTGGAGATGGGGATACCGCGGGTGTCGGTGGAGACGATGGACCGGATGGAGATGATGACAACGACCATGGTCCTGAGGACGATATGTATAGACTCGCCTTGGTGTTGAGGGACCCCACAGTACCTCCCTTGCGCCCTCTTTTTTTTTTT